TTGTAATTTTTTTGATGTTAGATGTAGAAATTCGAAAAAATTAAGAAATGTTCCATGGCTCAAGTTCTAAGCTCCATTACTCAACTTATCTTAATCGGATTTTGAAGTAACAGGAAGAAGGAAACGTTTCCGACCATATAAAGTTTATTCTACCGATATTCCAGAAATGTTGAAATTTCACTAGCTGAGTAACGGGTATCTGATAGTCGGGGATTTCGACTATAGCATTCTATCTTTTTAAGTTAAGTTTGGCAACACACAAAACGTACTCACCTAGTTTTTCGTAGACCAAGTTCCAACTTATTAATCTGATCTAGGATTATACCCGACTTGGCTCGCAGACATCAAATCTCCAGCTAAGATAGCCTATCGCCATCCGAGATTTCCATCTTTTAAACCCTGCAAGCCCGACTATAAACGCCACTGGTGGACAATTTATGAATCGTAAAACACGGCCGAGCTAAAAGCGAAAAAGTGCATTCTAATTCATTTGAATACAATTAACGTGTTCCGAACGGTATGGCAAATGTTTAGGAAATTACTCAAGTGAAGGCCCCACATTTCGTGATCCCAGAAAGTCCGGGATTGGCCGCCCAACTCCATTGAAGCGTGGCTCCAGCACAGAAAGAAATCTAGCTCAAGCTAACTTTGACAAAAATAAATATGTATATATCAAGCCTAATATACATAAAAAAAAAAAATTTTGAGAAATTTGTTAAAATCTCCTGGAAGCTCAAGAGATCTAATGACAAAATGCCATCAAATCGATCATCGCAGATTTATTTGCATTTCTTGCAATGCACATGCACGACCACCGAAATTGTTTGCTAATGAGCTGCTCCAGCGAAAAGGAGCAGCCATCCGTGGATTACATGCTGTGGAACTGATGGGGGAAATGGAATCTTTGGTTTTGGCTGACTTTTGACTCGCATTGTTATATGATTTGCGGTGCCTTTTCCTGGTTTTTAATTTCGGCTTTGCGGCCACAAGTGTTTGCTATAATCGCCGCAAATACGTGGTCAGCGTTTAATGACGGGCCTAAGCACCCATGTAGATTTTCACCGTCATTTGGACCAAAATATATGGACTGTGGATCGCACTAAGTCCATGCATCAGCGATAATGCCCGCTGCGATGGCGATGCAATAACTTAATGCCTTCCATTCACGCCAAGTCGGGCCAGATCCGATAATGAGTCGGGTTGCTCGCACAATTGATATATGTATACTCTTATGTATGTATGGGCATAATGGCATCCGACATCCGAGCGACCTTGTCGTAATATTTATAGTCTATCTGGATGACCGCCGGAGAAAGAAATGATTATTACGCACTAATCAGACGTTTTGGGTTATTGTTTATTTTTTGATTTCTTTACGCCCTACACCATATTGCAGCATAAAACGCCGACTTTTATGGATGAAATCGGGAAAGCGTTGCAGCCATCGGCAAAACACAAAGTCGCGAATGAACAATGAATGAATGAATGAGTGTTGAAAAAAATATATATGTCCACCAAAGAAGTAAAAAATAATATAAGAAGCGCCCAGATTTTCCACACTACAAGTCGCAGGCAGCCAGCCGTGTAAACTTGTCGGCATTAGCCAATGCTAAGAGACCCCTGCCCCAAGATCCCCAAGCCCCGATCCCCGAACTCCGAACTCCGATCTACGATCCGCGATCTGCGATCTCCACAATGACTCCCCTGACACACCCGGATAACTTCATTTACATTTTGGGCGTGAGAAGAATGGCGGAGCAGAAACACAGAAGATCTGCCTCATCGGCTGGCTTAATTAGATTATAACTACTAGTGTTTGGTCCGTGTGGTATCTGCTCCCAGATTTGAATTGCGTGCCAAAGACGATGGGTATGGGTATTGCATAATTGGGGCGGGACGGGAAACCATGCCCGTCATCCATAAAGCGCACTCGCCATAAAGTGCATTTGCCTACTGTCCCAATTAGTTGGCTGGCCATGGTTACCTCTGGTTAACTCCGGCCACAAACGAAGCAATTAACTTGTCTTGCGGTTTTCACAAAATACAAAAAACGCTGTGCGAAATGTTCACACATTTCAAGGAACTATCGGTGGTTCGGAAAAATCTTGGAAAATTCTGTGGAAACCATACAGCACTTAATGAACCTGTATTTAAAGGAAATCAATGTTTATCAACGCTTAGAATATTTATAAAAACACATTAAATTATAAATCTGACCAAATAAGTTTACGAATGTATTCATTTAAAAAAGAAAAAACAATTTCTTATATATTTTATAACAAATAAACGTTAACGTAAATAAACAATTTAATGATTTGTATGTTTAAACTTAAATTCTCTAAGGAAATACAATAAAGTAATGAGCTATTATATGACATTTTTAGACAACCGAAAATGTAGGACAAACTCAAAAGCTAAAAATAATTTAAATTGTTAAGCTATATAGTTGCTAAAGTAAAATCAAGCGGTTAATAACACTTAAAAGTTAAGCTCTCTTGACAATATTGTAAATTTGGCTCGCTAATTTTTCACGAACTCCAAAGACAATGACAGATTGTAGATTTCAAATGCCCACAATCAAATCATTACCAACATTTTTCTCTAATCTCTGCGGTTTTGTAAACGTATGCAAATTCCAGGCCTTTGAGTGCCAAGGTCTTTTACAAGAAAAAGCCGCCAGGCATAATCCCTTGGGGAATCAAAAAACAAACACACCATATTGTTAACGATGTGAAAACGTGTACAACACAAAGCACCACACAAAGCATCTGTATTTGGCCAAAAAGCGGCAATTAGCCACGCACCCGCACACTGGCCAGCCACCAAGATGAGATGGCCCTGGGCACCAAGTAGATCCAAGTGGATCCAAAAAGATCTAAAAACATCCAGCGGCAATAGCGGCGATCCAACTGACATTTCAATTCCAGTGCCAACAATTGCATTTAACACACAATTTATGAGTGGCGATTTGGCTACTGATTCTTGGACTCCTATCCGTGGAGTACATGTCCGAGCTCTGGTGCTGGCATTAACCGACTTGTGGGTCCCCGGCCCGCCGTCGGTGATAACTGGATTCGCTGGAGTCCCAGCGGCAAGCTCACCACCTTGGCATTTAGTCCGCAACATGTGCAAAAAGTGCCCGAGCAACAGGAAGATGGCAGCTACACTTTAAAATTATGGAGTATTGTTGAAGAAACTGGGAGATTTGAGCACAAATTAAGAGTGACCATAGTGTAAATCTCTACAACATTGATTAAAAAGCTCCACTACACTGCTCATTTTTCAAATCCATATTATCACCATATACACATAATTCAAATTCAAATCTAAAAAACCATTCTATTTAAGTATCTGCACTTTGTTTTCAAATATTCCAATATCCTGAATTTATAAGCAAGTTTGCCTTCCTGCAACCGTTACCAAAAACCAACATTTAATGTTCTAAGCAAGCATTATTATAATATATTTTTAATAACCAATAAACGCCTCAAATTGATCATAAAATTGTTTAAACTGCACTGACACCGTTGAAATTTCTTAATAGAAGCGCCGAAACCGCAACAAAAACAAAATCGTAACTAAAAAGCAGCAGCCGCAGTCGCAGCATGGAGTTGGAATCGCAAATTAAATGTTAATAGTAATATACGGGCCACAATGGAATGGCGGCGCTTGGGACAAAAACCGGATTTGTGGCAGCCACAGACAGAACAATGTGCGCATAAATCTAGCGTCAAAACATGAATGCAATTTAAGCTAACTGAATGAGCGATTGCCGGGGGATTAGCCATCATCTCGGCGACCGGGTGAACAAAACCCGAAAACCTGCTGGCGCAGTGATCAATTCAAAACTTGACATTGTCTGTCGGAGCACCCCAACTCAAAAGCTGTGAAGAAAGGAAGCTGCAACGTATCGTATCGGATCGGATTGGATCGTATCGCATGGGATGGGATGGAATCAACGGCCTACCGAAGATATTAGCTGGCGAACACGCATATCAAGTGACAGATTGCATAACAGTCGAATACGAAGACGCCATCAACCCATCTCCTCGATCTGCAGCTTCAACCACATCCACATCCCCATCCCCATCTCATGTGGCGTGTGGTGAAAGTTAATTTGGCAGAAATATGTAGAAAAATTATGAAATGTATTTTCCTTTCGGTTGCCACCGCACCGGCATTGTCTTGTGGCAATATCAACCGCCGAGTGGCAAGTATCAAGCGGAAACGACAACCAGCAGCTCATGCAGCCACTTGTGCCGCTTAATAGGTTAATAAATACATTTCGAATGGAGGCAGGAAGAGCTGACAGCAGCACGCCAAGTGATTCAAGTCTATAAACGCGGCTATTCCCTACCACTTCTCAGTAACTCAAGCACCTTAATAATTAAGAAAGCTACATTCGCTTCACAACTATAGTTAAGGAAAATATGATTTGGGGAAGAAAATACTACTCATAAAGTGGGGAAATTATAATAATAAACTAATAGTGATAGTATTCATAGATAGTGTGCCTCAAATTTAACTGCTTACGAATGGTTGCAGTCCAATTTTATTAGTCCAAAAATATTGTCTTTAAAGAAGCATTTAAATGTCTGTTAGTTGAAACTTTACGACAGTCAGGTCTGAAAAATGTACAAATATACTTGTGAAAGGGAAACTGGATCTAAATACATCTTTGTTTGCTTGAATGATTTTCATAACCACAGCCTTGTGATCCATGTCTGTGCCTTTAATCGCATTTAACGCCGTTTCTCGTTTGTTATTTCGCGGCTGACAATTACATGTGGGCACCTTGACGGGGCCAACAAATTGGCGACCAACAGGCATTTCTCCGGCATTGTTTGGGACAGGTGGCCAGGTGGCCAGGCCGGAGCCTTGGCCATTTTAGAAAGGTCCAACTGAAAGCGCTCGAATGGGCCGGCGAAAGGTACAAGAAAGGTACTCTTCAGCTACACATGCACAAGCGCCACCATATAGAGACAACACGTGGTTACAGGTTGGTTTTAGTTAGGTCTAGACATTTATTAAGCAGGCTGGGCTCGGTGGCCAGATGGCGAAGCAGCTCTGGTTGGGCATTAGTGAGTGCACGTATTTTGAGCACATTATAATTTAGTTATATATTTGAAATATGTGTGTAGCAACCCAATCACTGGGTTTGGTTATTGCTATTGCTATTACTAATATATTACTGTCGCTCGGGTGTCGCTCACTTGCAGTCGGCTGCCGCATTGTTGGCGGACTTGGTGGCCGCTTTAATGGCGGCCGCCGAAGTGCGCTTCACACTGACCAAGACATTGCGCTTCGTGGAAGCCGGACCAGGTTTGGCGGCTTTGGCAGTCTGTTTGGGCGTTGCCTTCTTTGCCGGCTGCTTGGCTGCAGCGGTGGTCTTGACCATTGGTGTGGCTGGAGCGGAAACAGGCTTTTTCTCCGGTGACTTGGACACTGGCGCGTTTTCTTTTGCCACTCCCTCATCGGCATCGCCGTTCGCTTCCTCCTTGCCGTCTTTCGCCTTGTTTTTCTCGCTGCAAGTGAATAAATATTGCATAACATGCTCAGGATGGATTGCTTCATCGTCTTTCACATACCTTTCAATGTCAATGTTAAGCACAGACTCGTCCTCTTCATCCTCCTCATCTTCTTCCTGCCCCAGCGGCTCTACTTCTGCCAGGAGATCGCCCAGATCTTTGTCTACCTCCTCCCACATTTTTTTATCACCCTCCTTTTTATTACCCTCTTCGCCTTCTCCATCATCATAGTCTTCGTCCTCATCCTCGTTTAACTTGCCATCGATGTCCTCATCGCCTTCGGCGTCATCATCACCGGTCTTTTTGTCGTCATCGTGGTCATCCTCATCGCCCTCCTCCGTCTTGTTCTTCTTCTCGGTCTCCTCCTTGTTGCGCAGGAAAGCCTTCACATGGGAATGCTGCATGCAATGCTTTTTGGTGTAGTCCTCTAGAGACACATCATCAGCCTTGCCAGAATAGTGATTGCACAACTCGCAGTAGAAGGCCTCTATGATCTTGATATAGTCCGGGCCAATCAGAGCGCGTTTGCGAGTCTCCTCATCCTCGCTTTTCAGAGCGGCTTCCGCCTCGGTCACCATGGCATCTACATCGGCATCGATCATGTCCACATCGATCTCGCCCACGGAGTCTACAGTGTGGAATTTATTCAAATCAATCTCGCGCTCATCCACACTATCATCCGATCCGGATTCATCGTTGCGGGCCTTGTTCTGCAAGCAAACATACAAAAATTAATAATTGTGCAGAGCAAGATCTAGGAGGAGTATCATTTTAGGAAGGAAAAAGAAACGTGAAAATTGTTTTTGAAAGGAAAATTTACAGTCGGAGGAGTTTCTAGGAAAACCCATTCCATTTTATCGGATGAGACAACGTTCTCGAACTATCTGTAAATGAGTTCATTGAAGGATATGAGTCAAACTCACCCTAATGTGCTCCAGGGAGCAGCGGTGGTTCTCGTAGAGCATGGCATTCTTGAAGGCCAGGTGGCAGGAGCCGCAATAGGGCATCAAGAACTTCTTAATGGTCTTGTGGTGCTCGGAGGCCTGATGAAGATTCTTGGGCTGGCGGTAGGCCAATCGGCAGAGCCGGCAATAGCGCGACTCGTGCTCCTCCTTGCTGTTCTCCTCGATTTCGCGCTGAGTGGTGCGCTGTCGAGCACGCATTCGCTGCAAGTCAGCTCGCTGGTTGAGGGCCACCTGTCGCATGGAGTTCTTGTGGGGACGAGAGTTCAGATGGTAGTTGTACTCCTGCGGATCAATGAGGACACATTGTTATTTAATAACTCAAAACTCCTGTAAAAGAAACATACCTTAAATGTAACACACTTGATGCGGCAATGGACGCAAATGAGTTTGATGAAGCTGCGTTTGCGGTTGTTGTGGTCCTCATCCCGATGACGGGAGCTACGTCGATCCTTACTGTGATCATCGTCCGAATCTTCCTCGTCTTTGTCCTTGCGCGACGTGCGCTCCTTCTTGGCGGACGATGACTTCTTGGACTTGGAGTCCTTCGAGTCGTCCTTGTCCTTCTTCTTACCTGACTTCTCGCCCGATGACTTGGCCTTTTCGTCCGATTTGTCACCATCGCCGTCCTCACCTTCGCCCTTCACCTTGACATCCTCGTCATCGGAGGCGTCATCGGCCTTGGCGCTCTTGGGATCGGACTCATTTAGGTCCTTATCATCATCGTCATCGCCATCACCGTGCTCATCATCATCATCGTTACCTTCGGCATCACTCTTGTCCTCGTTGTTGGCCGACTTGCTGCGTTTTTTACCAGGCGAAGAATTCTTGCTCTTCTCGTCCTTCTCATCATCGTTTTCTTCATCGTCATCATCGTCGTCATCGTCGGAGTCATCGCCTCCATCGGCGTCCTTGTCCTTGCCTTTCTTCTTCTTGCTTTTCTCAGCATCTCCGCCGTCCTTGTCCTCATTGCCGCTGGAATCGTCGCTGGAATTCCCGCCCTGGCGTTGTCGTCGCAACGAGCTACATTTGGGTGGAATGAATTCGAATGTGAAGTCATGTCAGGGTGGCAGGATGGTTTTTTTTTTTTTTGGTGGAAGGCAAGTTCAAAATTTTGTGTTTTTTTTTAGTACCTAAGATCAAGCTGGGTGGCAAACTAACAAAATACGTTCTTGTCATGAAGTGTAGGGTGTCTTTTTTTATCGGTACATTTCAATTCGTTCTACTTAGTTACACAACAATATACACATGGATAGTTTTTGAGCTACGAAGAATGGAGTTTCTCTGAAGGCCGCTTGGTTAATCTGGCACCAAGTGCTCTCCTCCTCCTTTTCGCATTTAGATTTTAGATTCCTTACTGAATCTCACAGTTCACATTAGTATCTCAATCTCACAGATTGCATTCATAGTTCTTTGCATCCTCAATTGGTACACAATAGCGTAACTCTGATTTTTGTATATTCATTTGGGTTTTGATTTAATTTTTTTTTTTGTTTGTATATTTGGTCTATTTACCTTTTCAGCTGCTGAATCTTGAGCAGGCGAGCCCGGTCTTTCTGCTGCGCATAGAGCAGTTGGCGGCGCATGGTGCGCAGGTCATTCGACTCGTTGACCCTGGTGCGCACAACGCGCATTCCTCCCACCCGCATCCCAGTGCGCATCATGCCGCCCCTCATCGACATTGTGCCGCGGGGTCGGGATATATAGTTGGTGCCGGCCACGCTACGCATCATCCGCTTCGGCGGACCCATCGATCCGTCCCGCTGGTGCCGGCTGCCACTGGTGGAATCATCGCGTGGGCGGTAGGAGCTCGAGCTCCCGCCGTTATTCCCACCACCGCCGGTGCTGCTACGCTGATGATAGTTCGAGGAGGAGGAGCCAATGTTCTGCGACGAGGACGAGGGTCGATCGCTGCGATCATTCGACGAAGACGTGCGACGGTAATCCTATTGACGATTGATGAGTAGGAAGGTGTGTAGGAGCTTTGTTTTGGTTGATTTGGTTTTGATTTTTGTATCAAATATCAAATATAGGTGGTAGATTTATATTTATATAAAACATATATAGACTTGTTGAATGAAAATAATTGCTATATAGCTACAGACTGATATTGATTCTGATCTGATCGGATTGGTTGTGGGTTATTTAGTTCGCAATTGGCTGTTATTATTATTTCCTGCAGCGTGTTTTGTGTGTGGTAGCATGATGGAGAAAACTTATACGCTTAGCTACATAGATTTGAATCGATATTATTATAATGCGTATGCGGGTGTACACACTGATAGATTTCTATTTGCTCTGCTCGGATTGCAAACCGATCATTGATTTTCGACAGTCGGTATGGGGAAAAATTTGACAGCTGATGGTACGGGCATACAAGATATACAAGAGTTTACAGATCGAAATCGCTTCAATCGCTTCAACAGCTCTCTACAGAAGTTTTTGCTCTCTCATAGTATATACGTGGATCAGTTCGGGTCAGATCGGATTGGATCATATCGATCGATCGGTCGCTGGCAAAATCATTATCTATATGGTGCCGCGCCGCTGACGATGCTATGGACAATACACAGATTTATATAGATTTATATGGTCAGACGGTGCTCCAAAGTGCTTGTCTGGCAACTTTGAGTCCGCGCGCTGTTTGCTCATTTGGGACATGTTATGCTTTAACGCTCGATAGGCTCAACTCAGTCCCGCGTTTAAGCTTCACAAACAGTGCTATAAATATTTGGAAAGTCATTAACATTACACAGTACATGGCGATTGGCTTAATGCATAATTAATATGTAGACCTTTGGGTGTAGCGTGCTTGGAATAGCATTTAAAATGGGGCAAAGTATAACTTACGTCTTGACGCGGGCGTTTGCGATCATCGCTGCGGTCGCGAGAGGAGTCCTAGAAACACAAAACATAAAAATAGATTGCATTATGAATGTATATGTATATATAGATGGATGTGGGTAATACATCACTCATTTACTGAAAGACCGACAGACATATTATTAATATAATTAATTTTCACGAGAAAGTGATCCTGCATGCGTTGAGAATAATGGGAGCTGCTGCTATCTCAATTGATCAAAAAGGTAAGAACACTAAATTCATTTTGTACTATTAATTTTCTTTAACCTCGTACAAATATATGCAAGAGTATTTGTCACTGAGAAATATTAATTTTGCCTCTCTGTATATTTCAAATACTATAATATTTGTTATCTATTTTCTCTGCAAAAATAAGTGCGCCGTTTATAAGTACGCACCTGTTTATAGAATTTATACAAGTATACATTATACCTAATAGTTGTTTTGCATATGGAAACGATTTTTATATTAGAAGAGACGTCAATAAGATTTAATCTATATTTTCTGACAGATGCATAATTAGGAAAGCAACAAATCAGTTGCTAGTGATAAGTTCATTCATCCAAAGAACATTTACACTTGAAGTTAAGAGACGTTTACTATCATGACCAATATTTACCAGTTATTATCAGTTACAATAGTTTGTTGTAAAATGATCTTAACTCTGATTTCTCGCAAGCATTGCTAATCGTCTTTAGTGGACTTTCAGCGTATTTACTCAGTTTGCCAAAAATCTTTCCATTTCAAGAAATTACTTACAGTTTCTTATCTCCTTTGGGAGATCACCATCGATAACCATCACAAACTTAAAGCAAGATAAATGTGTATCAATGTAAATGTCTTATATGCGAGATACACAATGTAGAAAAGCAAAAGTAATAGGAGTCTATCTATTATCAATTCATTCTCTGCCATATCATATTTATCCGAATCAAGTTGAGTAGAATGCAGACCAAATTCTGGATATATTTCTGAAGCTTTTGTAGTAGTTATTGACTAATGGTTTCTTACAGGTTAGTACGGTAAGGGGGTCCAACTTACGTAGCTGCGCTTGTGGCTCGAGGAACTGGAGTCGTAGCGTCCGCTGCTCGAGTTGTGGTGGGTGAACTTGTCCCGGCTCCGGTTGTCGTAGTGGCTGTTGCCTCCTCCTCCGCCGCTGTTATTGTTGTTGTTGTAGCGATTGTTGTTGTTGTGATAGTTATTCTCGTACCGCCCATTATTGGGTCGGTAATTGCCTTGGGTGCGAGTATTAACATAATTGCTGGAGTTGCGATTATTGTAGTAGCCACCGCGAGTGGTGCCCCCACCACGTGGAATGAATCCTCCGCGTCCGCGCATCTCTATTTTCAATTTGTTCCTGATGAAAAGATTACAAAATTCGATCCGCATGAAGAAGAATATATGTGCATATGTGAGCGAAAAAAAAAAAACGTTCAACGTTTTTTTTTTCAGGGATTATCTTTCCGCCGCCGGTGGCGTCGCTTGCTTTGGGTGAAAAAAATCGATTTTCTGCCGGCCCAAGCAATTTTTTTGCGCTTTTACTGCATCTCGATTTACGCCACTTACCTCGGTTCTAACACTATTCACTGATGGGCAGAAGTGAGCGCTACTTTTGTGTCTGTTTTTTAACTTTAACTGCACGTTTTATTTCTGATTTACACCTTTTCCACCAGCCACTTTTTTCACTTGGAACAATTTTTACTAGCAATGGCGAACGAAGTGCAATGTGACCGTGATGTGAGGGATGCGCAGTATATCGGTGGTTTAGACTTAAGTATATCGATTGCTTTTCAGTATGTGAAAAATGTGGCAACCTAAGCTAGCACAATTTAGGTATGACCTTGAAATTCAAGGCGCAGACTACCGTTATAAGGAAATGAAACCACTTCTATTTGTTGTTCAAATATATTATTATATATATATTTAGAGAAATACAATTTTATTAGCATCCAGTTTGAGTAAGTTTTATTTGTTAAATGTCTTCATAGCCAAAACTATTTTGAAACCCCGAACTTGAGCGGTTTTGAACTTGGCTAGATAGTCATGAAATATCGTTTAGTGCGCAACCATCACTGACAAACGGTGACATCGCTAATAAAGCTGCAAAAAATACAGCACAGTTGTTATTTTCGATAGCAGAAATTCTAAAGTGTATAATTCTGGAATTGTGCGATAAGGAACCCTGAAATTAGAGCAGTAAAATGTTCAATGGTTAGCTAATACTTTTGCCTATTAAAATAACTACAAACTGTGTGTGGACATATGCCATTTGCCAAATTACGCATCCATTTTTCACGCCATATTTTAGTAACTGACCCACAGAACAGTAACCTTTTTATGACAGTCACTATTGATTACGATGGGCAGCAGGAAAGCGGGAAATCACGGAAAATGGGGCAGCATTAGTACAATGTCGCGCTATCAGATGACCTGTTCCTCTCCTATTGGCCACAGATGTGTACTATTGATTTCTTGGCAGCCCATCGAACCACTCGCTCATCCTCACCCACACCCGTATAACTAACAAACTGGCCATTATTTTTTGTCAGGTTCACCGCATCCACATAAGCCAGCTCATCCGTTCTGATTGGCCAAGTTCAAAGTACACATTCAGCATCCGCAGCAGAAAATTCCGCAATCTTGAGTCATGGCGTGGATGGCCTTTGGAGCCCTAGCCTCCGGTTTCGGTATTCCCCCCCTTTCAATCACTACCACTCTTCCTGTTCTCGCTCATGTCGTGTCGCCGTTTAGTAGACTAGTTGAGAATGTGTTAATGTGTCTTATGACCAACGCAATTTCCTTATCTAATGACAATGCCTTTCTATATTTTACAACTACAGTTCTACAGCGCCTGCTGGGTGGCGATCAGCCGGCCAATAAGGTCTTGGAGGTCAAGAGCGAATCGCTGGGAACGCTTCAAGTCCTGGCTCGCGATGACGCCATGGTCCTCTTTGCACCGCCCTTTAACAGCAATGACAAGCGAGCCGTCTATGAAATCATTTTGCAGCGACCCACCTCGGATTCCAATACCACATCCTTTAGTCTGTACCGGTCGCCGGTGCAGCAGGAAGCCGAGGAACGCTTCAATGCGTTTCTGCAAAGGCTGCCCGTCTTCGTCAGCATTGTCAAAGAGGTTCTACAGAGGATAACAAAGCAATGCGACTGTATTTATTAAGACTTTATCTTTTAGTACTATAATGTAAATGGCCTGCAGAAAGCTTGCGACGCCTTGGCGGATAATCCCTCCTGGACGCTGTCCCATTTAATTGCCTACTTCAACCTGGTGGACTACATCAGCAATCCGAAGATGCTCCAGTGCGTGGACCAAGCAGATGCCACCACTCTAATGTCGCCTTTCCAGTTGGCCATCAAACAGGGCCACATAGAGATGGTGAAAGTCCTGCTGCCGCTGAGCAAGCTAGAACACTTGGATATTAACAGCAACTCGGTGTTTCACTACGCCGCTAGCACCACCAAAGAGATTATCAATGTAAGGCACCAATCCATATATAGTTCAAACACATTTCAAACGTTATTTGCCATTTATCCAGCTTATCACGGATAAAAGCACGGTAAATCTGAATCATCTCAACTCCGATGGTTACACACCACTTCATGTCGCGTGCCTCGCCGACAAGCCAGAGAATGTGAAGGCACTGCTGCTGGCTGGGGCCAATGTCAATCTCAATGCCAAGAACATCCGCAAAGTGTACAAGACATCCGCACCCACTACGGTGTCCTCTTTTCTGCGCACCAATGTTAGCAAGCTGTACACACAAGACATGAAATATGGCGGCACTCCTCTGCACTGGTGTTCCTCCCGCGAAACCCTGCATGCCCTCATCATGGAGGGGTGTGATGTCAATGCCACAAACTTTGATGGACGGACAGCACTGCATGTGATGGTGGCTAGGAATCGCTTTGAGTGCGTTGTCACCCTACTGGCCCACGATGCGGAGATCGATGTGCTGGACAAAGACGGTAATGCAGCTTTGCACATTGCCATTGAAAAGAAACTAGTGCCGATCGTTCAGTGTCTCGTGGTCTTTGGGTGTGACATCAATCTGAAGAACAAGGATGGCAAGACACCACGTCACATGGTTGGCAATGAAACTTCTACCAATAAGGAAGATGAAATCCTCTACATCCTGCACTCTGTGGGAGCCAAACGCTGTAAGGAGACTGGCTCAAAGTGTCCGCCAGGCTGCAATGCCAAAGGCACCTACAACGGCATACCGCCAGAGGCACCGGAATCCGTGGAGCAGCGCGAGCATATAGAAAACATGCTTGCCACCACCAGCCGACAAATGATGGGTGGTTTTCTGAACGCAGCGGCCAATGGAATACTGGAGAAGCAGCAGCCGGAGCAGTATGGAAATATATATTTATCTTAAAATACAATTTAATAGTCTGTTCATATTCCAGAAAGCCAGTGGTTGTCGATACTGAGAAAGAATTAAAAGGCCAGAGTATAATGGATGCCCTGCTCGGCATGTTTACAACCAAAGTGAATGCAGATGAGATGAAGAAGGACAACTCGTCGGATAGTTTGGCCAGTGGTTCGGCAAAATCAGCTGTGTCCAGTCCAGAGCAGCTTCCTTCACCCACCTCGCCTATTTCCGCTGAAATCGGCGATAAACCCTACGGACGCGGACGCCTGCTCTGCCTGGATGGTGGTGGCATTCGTGGTCTGGTCCTGGTACAGATGCTGCTTGAAATAGAAAAACTGTCGCGCACTCCTATTATCCACATGTTCGACTGGATTGCCGGCACCAGTACTGGAGGAATTCTCGCTTTGGCACTGGGTTGCGGCAAGACGATGCGTCAGTGCATGGGGCTCTACTTGCGCATGAAGGAGCAGTGTTTTGTGGGCTCACGCCCCTACAACAGCGAGTTTTTCGAGTCAATTTTAAAGGACAATTTGGGCGAGTTTAACGTCATGACGGATATTAAGCACCCGAAGATCATGGTCACCGGTGTGATGGCGGATCGCAAGCCCGTCGATCTACATCTATTTCGCAACTATACGAGTGCTAGTGACATTTTGGGCATTGTGACTTCCATAAGTAAGTGATATACCCAATATGATTGTGAAAGTTCCCCAATTATTTTATGCTTTTAGACAACCGAAGAATTCCTCCTCCGCAACCAAACGAACAATTGGTTTGGCGTGCTGCTCGGGCTACTGGAGCTGCGCCCTCCTATTTCCGCGCCTTTGGTCGCTTTCTGGATGGCGGCTTGATTGCCAACAACCCGACGCTGGACGCAATGACCGAGATTCACGAGTACAATATGGCCTTACGCAGCGCTGGACGCGAAGCAGAGGCCATACCTGTATCCGTGGTAATGTCACTGGGCACGGGTCATATTCCGGTGACTGAACTTAAGGACATTGATGTCTTCCGACCGGAGAGCATCTGGGATACGGCCAAACTGGCCTACGGAATCTCCACTATTGGTGAGGCACCTAATTTATATATGTACTTTGTGTGGGATCTTTTACTCAAATTCGTATTCTTGGTAGGCAATCTACTGGTGGACCAGGCCACCTGCTCCGATGGAAGAGTGGTAGATAGAGCTCGCGCCTGGTGCAGCACCATAGGCATACCGTACTTCAGGTTCAACCCTCAGCTCAGCGAGGACATCGCCATGGACGAAAAGGACGACCAAAAACTAATCAACATGCTGTGGCACACTAAGGCGTATATGCACGCCAATCGGAATAAGATCATAGAGATGATCAATTTCCTAAAATAGCATGCCAGACGGATTTAGACCGCATTTGCTGTAGAGATCTCTTATCAGAGGGATCCTTTCGATTCATGTCTGTGTATTTTAGACTCGTTTCACCTTCTTCGTTTTTATTAAGCACCTTTTCTGCGGTCTAAATCAGCTCACCCGCTGGGACTTCCACTCTCAATAACACCGAAATCCTCCCACCACCTGGCTCCAAAACAGAATCTGCATGTTTCCACACCCAAACACCTATTTTTTTTATATTCTGAGGCTTTATCTCCAGGATACCAAACGAAATACGCTTTGTATATTGTGTTATTGGACCAAAGAAGGTACCATATCATCACATTAATTTCGAAAATCTTTTATTTTGTATATTATAATCGGCCATGTATTGTATTGTATGTAATCCTCCATATGAGTTCAGAATTGAATCTTTTAATGTATGATAGCTAACATTCCGTGCCGCTTCGTTAGAAAATGAATATGTGTAGTATGTATGTCGAGCACGAATTTTGAATAAAACTTTTTAAGTGTTTAAACCAGTTTTTAATTAATTCCTATTAAGATAGAAGCTGTGATTGAAGGTTAATCAATTAATTGGGGCTACGAAATAGTTTACGTTAAGAACTCTAGAAGTACTAAAGCTGAAGATAGTTTTTATATATTTTTTTTATTGAAAATAAAATTTTTAATATAGAATTGGTTAAATCATTTATTTTTATGTATTTAAAAAATGTTGTCTACCAGGGCTGACTATTCACGATAGTGTCCTCGCAAATAGTTCCAGTCTGCCAATCGATATCTAGCACACTACACATATCGATAGGCCAAAACAAATACAAACAATACAGACGAGCCAAGAATTTTTGCTCTTCGCCCCAACTAATAGAAATCCGAAAAACAAGTGAGTCAAAGTGTTTTAAAATGATGACTACAGAAGTAATAGACGAAGATGAACATTTACAGATCAAGATAAATAAACTCAGGGACGGCAGGGTCACACCAATAACGGGGGGTCAGAGTGACCAAAGTAGGAAGGAAAAGAGGCAAAAATAAACAAACAATACAGACAGGAAAATAAGCAGCGCGTGCCTGGCAAGTTTTTCGCCACAGTCCCAAACATTGGAACCAGGACCACAAACGCACTGCATCGCGGGCAAAGGGGACGCAATCAGATTGAGTGCGCGCAATGGCTGCGGCCACCAACAACGATTCCTCCGGCGTGGAGGCGGCCAAGGAGGAGGTGGAGATGTCGATGCCGCCATCGCCCATGTCGATGGCCATGGTACTGGCCAAATCGACGCCGATGCCCATGCCCACCAGCGCCTCCAAGGGGATCATGATAACGCCGCCACCGCCGGCAATGCCGCCCACGCCCACTTCGTCGCCCAACACACACGGTGAATGGCCCCACATGAACATCAACCTCAACCTGAACTTGAACCTGAACATGAGTTCAAACCCCAGCACGAATGCATCATTCCAGCTGAGCAGAGATCGGGGCGAGCACTTTGCCCTGCCGCATCTGCCGCCCCTGCCGCTGAATCCTAATGCCCCCAATGCCGAGTATCTGCCCAGCCTGATTCATCCGAGCACCTTACCCTCGGGCAGCAAAAGCTTCAAGATGCGGCCGCGAATGCAGCGGCTTAAGCACTCCTACAGCTACAACAACATATTCGTCCAGTCAAATGGCCGCAAACTGCGCACCGCCGCCTCCACCTGCAACATCGAGCTGCTCAACCGTATCCTTGAGGCTGGGGCCAATCCGAATGCCGCCGACGAGTACAATCGTAGTCCCCTGCATCTGGCCGCCTGTCGTGGCTACATACCCATTGTCCAGCAGCTTCTAAAGTACGGAGCCAACCCAAATGTAGTCGACTCGCTGGGGAATACCCCTCTCCATCTGGCTGTGATCTCGGCCAGCTCCAATAACTTCAATGTTGTGGTGGGTGTGCTGCTCCAGGGCGGCGCCAGTGTCCACATGTACGACCGCAGCAACAAGTCACCGCTGGAACTGGCTGAGGCCAAGCTAAGATTGCTGCGCAATCGGTATGATCACCCCACGCCGGAAACGGCCAAAATCCTCGAGGACATGTGCATGCTGACCACGCTCATCTTGCGCTACATGGTGAAGCAACAGCGCGAGCTGGAGGATCTCTCAGCGCTGGAAAAGCGACTGCAGAACCTGAGCACCAGCGACGACCAAGAACAGGTCGTATCCCAGACCGCCGATGAGCTGCTCGCCAGCGTTGAGCGGCTGTCTATCAACAACAAGTAGACGGACGTTAGCTGGACGCCAGGGTAACCCATCCGCAGGCGGGCCCAAATTGCGTTCGATGAGTTGAGAAAAAAGTAAGTATGACAACCAAATAGAATACAGGATGTGTAAAACACAAACACAATTTGATACAAATAACATGTTCCAATGTTTTGGTTTTAAAAACGTTATCTATAAAGCATGTGACGTCGTATTTGTCATTCCGAAAAGCATTTGCGAACTTAGTCACTCACAAGATTGCACTGGTTGTTTATCATTTCCATAAAAGTGCGTAAGGCTGTAAACAATATGTTAATCTAAATTGTTAAAGCAAAAGTACTATAGTGAGAACAGCTAATTTATTCAGATCCTCAATGCTTTCTTTTCGTTTCAGTTTGTTTATCGTTTCCTAATTTGGCTGCCGTTGAGCTGGAGTTGGCATCGTGACAAGCAGCTAGAGGAGAATGAGGTCCTGCTCCCCATCCTAATCCCACAAAGCTGCCAAATGCGACCAACGCTCTCAAACACACAAGCACACACACCCACACACACAAAAGAAAACACACATTGTTTTATGCGATCTTTTTATTAAGTATTTCATTTAAGGCTTATTGTTTACGCAAACAATCAACAAACATGATTACATTTTAAGCTTTACGTTTAGCGCGCCAAAAACAAAAAATAAATCCAGTTATGTAATAATGAGGCAAACGCAACTCAAGTAGACACCTAACAATTTGCTACATTACATTTAACTAAATGACTAAATTACTTGGAAATCGTTAAGTGTCTATTGTATACTATAACAAAAAACCATATGCGTGTAAACACTCTCTGAACAATAAACGAAAAACCAAACGGCCATTTGACTTAATCCGCAGATCAAGCCGAAATCTGTAACTAAATAACTGAGAGGACTTCTGAGTAAATCTGGTTTATGGTGGTCACTTTTGGTAAGGTCTGACACCTTAGCAAATAAACAAGGAAGGCGGTTTAGAACACCCTTCTTCCTCATCAGAAAATATAACTGAAGGTATAGTTATGTAGATACATGTTTCAACTTCATTTTCAAATGTATTGTTTATATATTTTTGGTGTTGTCGCGTTTATAATAAACGTGGTGACAAAGGTTTTTGATATACTAATTGGCCTTGATTGGTATACATTTTAAAATCCATAAATCCACAATTCCATTCGGAGCCTGAAAGTCATCTATAAATCTATTTAACAGCTTTTGCCTCTAGGCGTTTAAATGTATTCAAAAGGCGATAAGGAAAGCCCACGTTAGGTATGAGTATTTATGTGTAAACTTCACATTAACATGAGGTGGATAAGAAAAACTAAACGTTTTAAGAGACTTGTTCACGACGAAAATAGTAAGCGAAGTTTACGAACCCATATTGACATCACAAGCAAGTTAATACAAAATAAATGTTGTAAATTAGGCAGATAAAAAAACCCGGTCAAAATGGGTTTTTCATTCATAACGAAATAATAACGGAAGCTAGACAAATGACTAAAACACTTTTCCGGACGTAAATACACGAAAATATGCGAGGGGTGGGTTTATAAACAGGTCTGAAAACTGAAAACCTGAAACCGAAACTCACCGTAAACCCATTCATACGCATGGAACCGCCACAAAATACTATTTTTATAACATCTGCACCAAGCTCCAAATTTCGTGGGAGGAGTAAATGGAGGAGGAGGAGGGATCGAGTGGACAGCTGGAATAGGAAAATAGAAGAAAAGCCGTGTCGCCTCTTCTTCCCACGTCGGTTACGTTTCGTTGAGCGAAATGATCAACATATTCAAATTGTCGTTATGCACGCTACACAGAAAATAGTATTTTGAACTTTCTTAACAAATGTTGCTACACTTGGAAAACATCCACTAAAGGTTAATGATACATTGGATATTATATAGGAGTACATTATTTTAAATTAGTTAGTCGGAATATATTCACAGGAAACATAAGGTCAATCCTTCCTTTTGAAATAAATGATTTAGACTTGTCTTGATGTAGTGGGATATTTTGCGCAGTGCAGTTGGAGTGGCTAGATCAAATGCAGGGCATACGGAAACAATGAAACCTAGCCGAGCAACCCGAAATGCTGACCCGACCACTTCCACTTATTGGCGGCAGTTGTGATAAGATGCACCGCCTCACTTGTTGATCTCCCTGGCCGTTGCTGTTGTTGTTGCTGTTGTTGTGATGCATGTGGTTTCCAAAGCAAGAAGGAAGAAGAGGCAGAAGCAGCATATGCGTAAGGAAAAACATAAGCGGCGTTGCTGTCCGGATGCCGTGTGAATTTCACATTTCACTGCCTTGTTTCTGAATTTTTGTGTACTTTTAATGTATGTATGTGCACATGTGTGTACTATGTGGTTCCTCTGGTTCCTGTGGACTGTCTGCGAGGCAGAACGCCCACGTTATGTGCACTACGGTGTAGTCGGTCGGGCATTTGAGTTCTAACTACTTTGCTAAGTAACTTCAGCAACTTCACTAAGCATCACCTAGTCAGGTTTTACTCCTAAGCTACATCAGTTATTTTTAACGTGTTTTTATATTAAAATGAAAAGTTTACCAACTTTTTTTTTATGATTTTTACTAAGTAGTGTTGGTAAGTCGACATTTTCCTTCTGTTATATTTCCGTAAATAAATTCAAATCACAAAGAATATCGTGTTTATGTGGCAGAAATTACATTGGCTGTTTCAGCCAAGTTGTTTTGTACCGCCCTTTCTGAATCGCATATGCCCACGACTTTCTCTGCCGGCGATCTTCGGTTGCTTCCGCTGTCGGTGGCGCCGGTGCAACATGTGTGTGTTGAGTGTAGGTGACCATTGCTGTGTGCGTGTGTGTGTGTGCGTTTTCATTCACAAAATTTGGGAGGTGCATGTGTACACTTGCCGCTTGAAAATTTTAATTCAGTTTCATTTCGGCCGCGCTGTAACACGTTTGTTTGTCGGAGTGTGTTTCAGAGTTAAGCAACAGAAAACCAATGGAAATTAATTAATTAAAAACATCAACTAAACCTAAAGTGAAAAGCAGAAGCCCACATTATAATTTTGAATAATTTCACTTAATTACCAAATAATATATATAACTGTTTGTTGGCGCTAACGATAT